TAGGAGACGGAAGGGGACACTAGGATACAGAAATGGACACTAGGAGACGGAAGGGGACACTAGGAGACAGAAATGGACACTAGGAGACAGAAGGTGACACTAGGAGACAGAAGGGGACACTGGGAGACAGAAGGGACACTAGGAGATGGAAGGGACACTAGGGACAGAAGGAGACACTAGGAGACACTGGGAGACAGAAGGTGACACTAGGAGACAGAAGGTGACACTAGGAGACGGAAGGGGACACTAGGATACAGAAATGGAACACTAGGAGAACGGAAGGGGACACTAGGAGACAGAAATGGACTAGGAGACAGAAGGTGACACTAGGAACAGAAGGTGACACTAGGAGACAGAAGGAGACACTAGGAGACAGAAGGGGACACTAGGAGATGGAAGGGGACACTAGGAGACAGAAATGGACACTAGGAGACAGAAGGGGACACTGGGAGACAGAAGGGGACACTAGGAGACAGAAGGAGACACTAGGAGACAGAAGGTGACACTAGGAGACAGAAGGTGACACTAGAGACAGAAGGTGACACTAGGAGACAGAAGGAGACACTAGGAGACAGAAGGGGACACTAGGAGATGGAAGGGGGACACTAGGAGACAGAAGGAGACACTAGGAGACACTGGGAGACAGAAGTGACACTAGGAGACAGAAGGTGACACTAGGAGACGGAAGGGGACACTAGGATACAGAAATGGACACTAGGAGACGGAAGGGGACACTAGGAGACAGAAATGGACACTAGAGACAGAAGGTGACACCTAGGAGACAGAAGGGACACTGGGAGACAGAAGGGGACACTAGGAGATGGAAGGGGACACTAGGAGACAGAAGGGAGACACTAGGAGACACTGGGAGACAGAAGGTGACACTAGGAGACAGAAGGTGACACTAGGAGACGGAAGGGGACACTAGGATACAGAAATGGACACTAGGAGACGGAAGGGGACACTAGGAGACAGAAATGGACACTAGGAGACAGAAGTGACACTAGGAGACAGAAGGGGACACTGGGAGACCTAATGGGATCAAAACTCTGGCGACCATCTTGAACTTTGTGAACCTCAATAGAACTTAATGTTGTCATGGAGACCACTTCTCTGACTGGGACAGACGAACGTCTCCAGTCTGTCGTCTCCAGTCTGTCGTCTCCAGTCTGTCTTCTCCAGGTGTCGTCTCTGGTCTGTCTTCCTCCAGTCTGTCGTCTCCAGTCTGTCTTCTCCAGGTTGTCGTCTCTGTCTGTCTTCTCCAGTCTGTCTTCTCCAATCTGTCTTCTCCAGGTTGTCGTCTGTGGTCTGTCTTTTCCAGTCTGTCTTCTCCGGTCTGTCTTCTCCAGGTTGTCGTCTCTGGTCTGTCTTCTCCAAATCTGTCTTCTCCAGGTTGTCGTCTCTGGTCTGTCTTCTCCAGGTTGTGTCTCTGGTCTGTCTTCTCCAGGTTGTCGTCTCTGGTCTGTCTTCTCCAGTCTGTCGTCTCCAGTCTGTCTTCTCCAGGTTGTCCGTCTCTGGTCTGTCTCTCCAGTCTGTCTTCTCCGGTCTGTCTCTCCAGTCTGTCTTCTCTGGTCCATCAAAGGAGAACTTCTCAGATCTCAGAGGTTCTAAGGTTCTTGGAGGACATGGACTTTGTCTCTGGTGGTTCTGGAGATGGGATCACGTCGACCAGAACCATCGCTGGTTCTGCGGGGCGGGACGCCGGGCCGGGGCGAGGCGCCGGCCCTACATGAGGGTAAGTGATGAAGATGATGATGGTGGTGATGCAATCATTTCTGCTGTGCTAGTATGCTAATGCTAACGATGGCATCCTGCAGGAGGCGCCGCCGTGACACAGCTCATCAGAAGGAACCACAGAACCTCCAAGGTCCGCTACATCCAGAACCCGGTAGAACCCGCTTCTGCCAGATCTCTGGTCGTCACCAACTCCGCAGCATGATGCTGCCCACCGCCAAGTTTCAGGTTCTGATGGAGCCTGTGTTTCCTCAGCAGGACCTGCCGGCTCCAGCGCTCTTAGAACTGATCAGAGAAGAAATGAAACAGAAAAAAATACCTCAGGGTGAAATTACCTCAGTATTCCTAACTTTTGTTCGCTTGCTGGTGTTTTATATAAATGAAAAAAAGAGCTAATAGTCCTGAATATTTTTTTTTTTAAGAAAAGATTTTTTTCAAGTATTGTCTTGTTGCTTTGGTTAATTTTAGGGTTAGCCCTAACCATAACGCACATCTGGGTGAGACAGATTTAGTGGAACGTTTGAACATTTTTAACCTGGACTTAGATTATACCTTAGAAATAAAACATGAAATAAATATATTGCATGGTTTAACATTCACCAGTTTACACAGGTGGCAATGACTGTTATTAATATGGAACAGATCTGATGAAATTGAATGAAATAAATGATTAATTTACCTTCTAATCAACATGACTGACTTTTTATTCTGCATGTTTTTATAATCATAAATATTAATGAACTGCAGAATAATGAGTTGCCTGAATGAAGAGCTTGATAATTATGAGGTTTAGGATCCATTTTGTCTTTGATCAGTTGGATTAATGCCCCCTGCTGGTGGTGGTGAGGAACAGCAAGGAGACGCTCAGGTGGAAATGATTTATTGATCCACAGCAGAACAGAACAGACTTACTTCCTGGTTCTGTTGGACCAGTTACTGGTTCTGGTGGTCCAGGCTGCTGGCCAGGTGAACACCAGCTGCTCCACACCTGTCCAGGTAATGTAGCTCCGCCCACTCACAGCGGTTTTTAATTTTGTTTTGTTCCTCTTTGATGACTCGGTAGATTCTCTAATTAATTTATGTGGTGAGATCATCACCTCAGAGTGACATCACTGGAGCTCTGTGTACAGACGTCATCTGGCTGTTCAGCGGTGTGGCCCACCCCCAGGGTTCCCCGCGGCCCCACCCCCAGGGTTCCCCGCGGCCCCGCCCCCAAGGTTCCCCGCGGCCCCGCCCCCAAGGTTCCCCGTGGCCCCGCCCCCAGGGTTGCCCGCGGCCCCGCCCCCAAGGTTCCCCGCGGCCCCGCCCCCAAGGTTCCCCGTGGCCCCGCCCCCAGGGTTGCCCGCGGCCCCGCCCCCAGGGTTCCCCGCGGCCCCGCCCCCAAGGTTCCCCGTGGCCCCGCCCCCAGGGTTCCCCGCGGCCCCGCCCCCCGGGGCCCCGGGCCCTCGGGCTCCAGCCGGACGGAGTTGCAGCCGTACAGCCGCCTCTCGTACTGCAGCAGCTGCTCCCAGAAGCCGGCGTTGATGCGCACGCAGGGCCGGCTCTCCAGCACGCGGCGGTGCGCCTGGCGCAGCGTGGCGCCGCGGAACCTCATCAGGTACGCCATGACCAGCGCCGGCGAGCGGCTCCTCCCCGCGACGCAATGCACCAGCGTGCCTCCGGCGCGGTTGCCATGAATACGCTCGGCCACGCGGTCGAAGTGCAGGCCGAGGCGTTCGCAGGGCAGGTCGCAGACGGGGACGCGGAAACACTCCACGCCCGGGTGGGCGGGGAGGGCGTGGCTTAGCGTGGCGTTGACGATCAGCGTGATGCCTTTCTGTGACATCAGAGCGCCGTTCAGGGGCGCGTCCGCCCCGCTCAGGAACAGGGAGGGCGTGACCTGGGAGAGCGTCATCAGGGGAGCTGAGGGAGGAACCGGAAACCAGGAGCTCAGTTTAAACCGCCGGCAGATTGACTGGCGATGAGCCTTTAACAGGAAGTGACGCAACTGGAAATGAATCCTCAATAACCCACCTCTACAGCGGCTCCGATACAGTCCAGTTGACCTGCCGCTGCGCCCGAACCGGAACTCAGAATGAGACCCAGTCACCCTACAAGGTTCCGGCCCGGTTCGGTTCGGCCAATCAGCCGCCAAGGTTAATAATAACCCAGCAGCTGAAGTTGACCTCGGGTCACGTGACCCGGACCGAAATAAAACCAGACATCCAGCCCGGAACAAGCCGAACCTGAGGTCCAATGAGTAGGAGGGGCCCGGTTCCTCTGGGTCTGATTTTCTACAGCAGACCCTGAAGGAATTCATACAATCCCAGTAAAATAATAAAAGCGACTTTTATTCATAAACAGAAGCTGCCGGAAACACGGCGGCCATCTTGGCTAAACCAAAGCAGCAGCAGCGGAAGAAGAACTATTGTTTAACTTAATATTGTTTATATTTCATGATCAGAATATTACTCTATATATATAGCTATATAACTATAGTTATAATTATATATTTATAGCTATAATGCAGGTTCAGCCCTGCTAGGAAGGCTCACCCAGATTTAGTGGAAAGTTTGAACATTTTTAGAAATAAAACATGAAGTAAATATATTGCATGGTTTAACATTCACCAGTTTACACAAATGGCAATGACTGTTATTAATATGGAATTCCTTCATTCTGTCAAAAGTAAGATGGCTCCCAAATCTCCCACTTTTGTTTTGAAGGTTTCCTGAAGGCCAGATGGAAATGAGGAGAGACGGATTCACAGCTGAATCTGAAACACATGAAACATCATGTATGAGCAGGTTAATATATGCATATTATTCAGTAAGTAATCATTACTGAATCACCTTTGCTTCTCTATAATATACTAAATAAATATTGAAAAATGAAGACCCACTGTGTGCTTTGTAAAATGCTCATTATACATCAATATCAGAATATTATACTACTATTGTTTTCCTCACTGAGAATATTTAAATATGCTGAATCATGTATCAATCCAATACTTAATGATACTACTTTAAAAATACATTTTCTTGTAAATGTAGCTGATAGCTGTTTGAATGAGCTTTACAGGAAAAAAAATGGAAATCTGTTTAGTATTTGGTGAGTTCTGATCAATTAAAAGCGCTCAGTGGACTTTTCTTTATCCGTGGTTATAGTTATATTCTCCAGGAAGCTTATGGAGCTACAACAGTCTCAAAATTCTCAAACACACAGGACGACATTCACAATAATCATAACATTGGGATCAATAGCTAATATGTTGATATTTTACTTACCGCTTCTCTGTCGCTGAGGGGAACCAGGCTGAGGCGTCATGGCGACAGGCTGCTGGAATGGGTTAATGTGATTGGTTACTGATCACCCAGTCAGACAGACGTTTTATTAAATAGACATTTGGAAATAAAGATGTATTTGTGTTTGCATCAAAAATACAAGTGTGGATCTGATCCTGTGCTTTTGTGAATTATGAGCCTGATTTAGCTCCAGAACACCAGAAGGTTCGGTTCCGGTCAGACCTCACTGGTTGTTCTTGCAGTTCTGCCTGTGACCGGAAGGGGCAGCGCACACCACCAAAACCCCTCTACCCCCGAGAAGAAGTCCCGAACCCGACCGTCATGGCCGAACTGAACCGGCAGCTCCAGGAGTACCTGACCCAGTCCAAAGGCGGCGGAACCAAGTCCAGCTCCAGCACCTTGGTGGAGGTGGACGAACCGGAAGAAGTACCGGGCAGCTGGTTCGGCCGGTGGTCCAGTCCGTGGTCCGGGCAGAGCTCCGGCTCCTCCTGGCCCTGGTCGGCCGAACCGGACCCGTGCCTCCCCGGAGTGACCCGGAAGCAGCGCCTGCTGGGCTTCGGGCTCTGCGCGGCCATGTCGGCTCTGTGCTTCGGGCTGTCGGCGCTCTACGCGCCGCTGCTGCTCCTCTACGCCCGGAAGTTCGCGCTGCTCTGGACGCTCGGCTCGCTGTTCGCCGTGGCGGCGGTGGCGGCGCTGCGGGGGCCCAGCCGGCTGCTGGCCGGCCTGCACCGCTCCCCCGCCGCCGCGGCCTACCTGGCCGCCCTGGCCGGGACGCTGTACGCCGCCCTGGGCCTCCACAGCACCGTGCTGACGGCGCTGGGGGCCGGCCTGCAGGTGGCGCTCATCGTGGGCTGCCTGCTGGCGCTGCTGCCCGGGGGCAGCGCTGGGATCCGGGTTCTGGGCGGCTGGACTTTCTCCGTCCTCAAGAGGACCGTGAGCGGCAGAACCCTGTCGATCTGAGCGGAACCGAACCAAGAGACTTCCCTCTGCAGGACTAAACCCTGGGCGCTGACTGCCAGGAGGGTCTGGAGTTCCGAGGACCAAAGTTCAAAAACTGACCCAAAAACTGTGATGGGGTGGTTCTGAGTTGTTGCAGTTTTGTTAATAAAACAGGTTCTACTAGCGGACTGGGTCTTTACTGGTTCTGGACTCCCGAACTGGGTCCCCTGGTCGGGTTTGTATGAGGTTCTGATGCTGCCATCACTTCTGGCTTCCTGTCCCGCGTTCCTGGTACCGCAGGTTCTACGAGCCGACTGGGTTTTTATCACCTGGTTCCGGACGGTTTGATATTTTTCCAAATGAGACTCCCTGACTTTGACATGGAAAAGTCCGACAGAACCGTCTAGAACCTTCCTACACAGACATGAAAACCCAGACTCTGGTTCCAGACTGGTTAACTGGACCCAGGGTTCCTCCTGGTTCCGTGTCAAAGAAACAACTGGGTGGCAGATGAAGGCATGAAAACAGTGACATCACTGGGAGCCGGTCCGATTGGACCGCTTCAGACTCCATAGGAACTCTGGGATTCTTCAACCAGAACCTGTTCCATCAGACGGGTTCTGGTTCTGGGGGTCAGAACCAGAACGTGCCGTCTGATTCTGACCAATCAAAGACGTTGTCTGGGCTGCCCACAGGGGGCGCCGCGCGGCAGCAGTTCAATGTGAATCTTTATTGTCCAGTTGGGTGAAAACACAAACACATAGAAATCTGTTAGAAAACCTGCGGAAACAAAACGGAGTCTCTACATCAGGAGGCCACGCCCCTCGGGTGGCCACGCCCCCAGGGTGAGCCAGGTCACACGACCAACAGTCTAGAGGCGGAGAGCGGCCCTACCGGCCCCGCCCCCCGGCCCTCGGCCCCCCTCTGGGCGGCGGCCCCCCCCTCCTCGGGCCCCAGCCGCCCCGCCCGCCCCGCCCCGGGGGCCCGTAGCCGCCGTCGTCCCTCTGAGGTCGTCCGCCTGCGGAGACACAGAAACAGGAAGATCCAGTAGAAATTAATGATGAAAAATTATGAAATGAATGTAGTAAAGAGAAATCAGGGCCTCTTATTAACAGCATAATCAGATTATGTGCCGTGAAACATTTACAAATTCTATTTTTATTTTTGCAAGACGATGCTGATCCAGAGCGACGGCCGAGGAGGCGACACGTCACTGCATGAGAAGTTGCCTCAGCAACAGGCAACAATTTGTGCAAATGCTGACTCAGGAAACATCGTTTAGACATAATATGATGCATGCAAGGTTTCCAAAATACTTCACTTTGTTTCATTTGCAGATGATACAAACATTTTTTGTACAGCAGCTTTTAATAGAAATTATTTTAGTTATGTAAATTGAAAAAGTGGTTTGATATGAAATTATCAGTAAATTTAGATAAAATGAAGTTTAGTTTATTCAGGAAATGAAAACAACAGAGATTTATAAGTAAATGATTGATAACGTGAATGTGGAGAGAAACCTTGTTATTAAATATGTAAATCCAAAGTGTTGCACTTCTCTCTAAATCTTCATGTCTAAGTTACTTTGTGGACGTTTGGCACAAAACTTCAACCGCTTTGCAGATCACAGAAAGGAGACGGTGGATCAGATGGTCCGAGTTTCTGCTGACCTTTGACCCCACATCCTGACCGTTTACGTAAAGAAACAAATTATTACCACAAAATATTGTTTTCTGATACAGTGGAGGATCTGACTGAACTTTAAACATTCAAACAAAAATAAAATCAACGAGCGTCTCAGTCACTGGGAGAAGATCTGGAATAAAAAGAGTCCAAGAAAAACCTCAAAATGGTTTTATTGGAAGCAACAGGAAACGCAGCATGGAGGACGACTGGGACGACTGGGACCACTGGGACCACTGGGACTGACTAGGTACACATTATATATGTAGATGTCCAGAGATGCATTATTTTCATTTGGTTCAGGAACTATTTTGATTTAAGGGATTCAGGAAATGAGAAGATTATTGATGTTATGAATTAGTAAATGGAGTTTGTAAATTTGGTAATAATGTATTTAGACTTAGAAATATAAAATTCTTACTTTATTATGTTTTGCTGGTGAAATGTGTGCAATAAATCATCATCATCGATGCTCCCACAATATGAAGCCGTGACATCATCAAGGCGTCACCAAATGCATTTGGGTCGTTTTTGTTTCCCGAGACAAAAACAGCAAAAATGCATCATTAAAGGATGCAGAACAGGCAGCTAGCAGCTAGCACACAGCGCTAACAGGAGGCTGCATGCTGAGCGATGGAGGACGTCATTCATGTCCAACATTAGCTTTGCTGTCACGTTAGTAGCAGCTCAGAGTTTCCACAGGCAGAAGGAACCCACAGAAAATCCCTCTCAATCTGCTGGAGCTCCAAAAACCGATCTGATGTGGGAACATTTCAGAGAAAACTTAACTGTAGCCCGACAACCCGACACTTTGTCCCCTCGCAGTGATTGTGTAGTCAAAGTACAGGACGCACAAAACAGGTCAGAAAAGGTTATGACCTTGTTTACCATTTCACAGACAACTGACAAAAATGAACAGAAAACGATACACATCTACGCAGCACCAGGACAATGAACTGACACTCAAAGTACAAAAGTTATTATTCAAGTGCAACAACAGTGGATTTTGTATGACAGGCGACTTTTGACTGTTTTCAGACCAACCAGAGACAGAATCAGACGTTTGTCTAGAATCAGACGTTTGTCTAGAATCAGACGTTTGTCTAGTCGCAGGTTTCAGGGATTTCTGGATGCAAAATTCAATAAAAAACTCAACAGTCTGGAACTCGGTCCGGTTCAACTGGACTCTAAAGTCTAAAGCGGTCTGAATGCAACTGACCAGAGACGCTTCAACAGCAGGAAGTTAGCGACGGTGCAGGGCATTCTGGGTAACATATTGCTCTCTGTCTGCAGGTTAACACCGATGCTCTGTCGGTTGTCATATCAACGGGTTTGCGTGCCGACACCAAGCAAGGAAAAGCAAAAATTAATGATCTGAAGTTATTTTACATTTTATCAGCTTATTGTCCCGTTGCCATGGCGCTCTGCAGCCGCTGTCATTTTTAACCCTTTAATAAAAACTGAACTAATTACCTGGTTTGCTTAGTTCTTGTATCTTGACAGAAACCAAACAGTTTATAGATTTATAAACAGTTTATAGATTTATGTTTCTAGATATTAATAAACTGCAGCAGTTTCCTCAGCTGTTATTTATTTCTAGAAATAAAGTTGCTGCCATCATTTGGTGATTCCTGGACCAGCCTGGTTTAGTGGACAGACTCACTGCGGTGGTAACGACACCTGCAGGAGCGACGCTAGCGTTAGCGGCTAACAGGCCATGTCCAGACAAGTCTGAATGGAGGAAACCTTCAGCCACTAAAATCTGACGCCGCTCCATTTTTGTTTCCTTTTTATGAAGAAGAAAGTTGCGCTGGTCTTCTTCAGAGGTTTTGTGTCGATTCCTTCAGTAGTTCTTGGTGCAGCGCCCCCACAGGCGAGGGGGATCAGGTTTTTCTGTTAGTTTGGGCCGTTTGTTTCACTGCAGTGTGAATGTGAACTAGAGTTCCAAAACTGAAACACCGGAGCCGAGTCCACCGGACCATCCGGTCTGAATACACCCTGAAAGTCATGAATCACTGACCTCCGTCTGGAGCCTCGTGGTCCCCGGTCCCGGGGCCGTCCTGCCAGGGACGCTTACGGGGCGGCAGGGACGCCATGTCCATCCCCTGCATGGACGAGGGACGCTCGCGCCCCCCAGGAGACGAACCGTCGTCCCGAAACCCGTCGTGGCCTGAGGACAGGAGGAAACGAGGGTCAGTGTGACAGACGGCCGTCCTTTCAGACATCCCGCCTCACTGGCCCCGCCCCCTCACTGGCCCCGCCCCCTGCCCCCCGACCCCTCACCTCCTCCTCGGGGGGGCCTCCCTCGTCCCCCGGACTCCCAGCCTCGACCGACCTCCTCGCCGCCGTCAAAGCCCTCCTCCTGGCCGCCGTAGTCCTCTGTGTAGCCCCGCCCCCCTCGGCCTGGACCGCCCCCTCGGAACCTGCAAAGGAGCCAGAACCGGTCAGATCGGGTCAGAACCGGTCAGATCGGGTCAGAACCGGTCAGAACCAGCCCCACCCACGCAGAGGGCGGTCACCCACCTGTCGTCCCGCCGTCCTCTGAAGTCCCCTGCACCAAAGCGGTCATCGGAGCCCCAGGCCCCGGCCCCCGGTGCCCGCCCCCCCGCAGTCCCCCCCCTGGTATCCCGGCCTCCAGTTGTCCTCCCCCCGGCTGTGGAAGTCCTGTCCTCCGTCCTGGGG